TTCATTAAATTCTTTATATAGAAATTGGAATCTTGAAATCCTATGAAATACATAAAAATATATCTATTTTATTCTTTTTTCATATCGATTTTTTATGTATAATGAAATATTCTAATAAAATAAATATATAAAAAAAATTTCATATTCTTATTATTTAATAAGTAGAAAGCAATCTTATCGAGTATATAAATAATATCTTTCAAATTCTAAAGGTTTTTCATAATAGAATCTATTCTTACAGATTAATTCTAATAAATCTTGAAATAATCTTTTATATAATCTATATATCAAGAGAAAAGAAAAATCTAATTTCAATTTATCTATTTTCGGTCCGAAATTAATAGAGAATATCTTCTGTAATCGAACCTATATATTCTTTATAGAAAATATATTAACAAATGAAATAAAATTTGGTTAGCTTCTGAATTCTTGCCAATAAAATCATTGTTATATTATTCAAAAATGAGAGCCAACCAGAAAATATCGAGAATCTATATATGTTTTATTCATCAATTCTGATCCATTCATCGTTTCCCGATTAAGTAGAATAGCGCCAGAAATGCTTTGATACCTCCCATGCGACTTAAGAAAAGCATCGGGTCGTAGCCGCGCTTCTAAATGGCTACTGGTGGATTATAATATCAAGATCTAACATCTTTAGGCTCTCTTGTACAACAAAAAAATCATTTCCAAAGCATGCTTGTGCAACAATGATGCCAATATCGTCAGTATGAGGCAGTAAAAGGGCAAACGATTTTCATAGAATAAGATATGTAGTCGCCAAGTTTTCTGTCAAATTGCAAGACCTGAGTATTGAAATATTTCGGTATAGATATCGACTGTAAGGTATGTACAAGAACCCATGCAGTCCTGTGGTATCTTGATGATCACAAGTGAGCAGAGAAGTGAACACGGGTCATCCACTTCTCCCCCACTTGTGCACCTGAAAATCACCGGTCCATCTCCACATGCGCCGGCAGCCGAACAAACATAACCCCATGAAGCCGCAGAAACTACACCCTGCACCTAGAACCCTAGTGCGAACGCGCACTCTGCAGCCTGTGGATCTGAGATGGACAGCAGCAATCTCTCTCTGCGATTCCAAGCTGGACTTTACTGACACTTGCCGTCTGCACTTGAATGCTCATGGGCGTTTGGAGTCAGGAGAGTAACTTGTTTCTGCAATACTACTCAAGGAAGGTATTTGGAATTCCGTGCAGCTGCTTCATTCTTGCAGCTACCGACACCCGGAAATTCCCTGCATCTTAAGCTTTAAGGCTCAGGGACTAAAGTGTAAGGTCCAGGGTTCGGCATGTAAGCTTCGGGGTCTAACGTTCAGGGTGTCAGCCACCCCCAACAACCGTACGTCCAAAGTTCTGAACCATCCGAGAAGATGCCATTACTGCCATTACTGAGGGTTGAGAACTCTCACTTCGGAGATATTGTAGGGGCTTTAAAAATCAGATTGGGATTTGGGGGCTCATTATACTACAGTTATAATAAGGAACTTCCAAAATAGTATTGGTATTGATTTAGGTGCCTATATTGACTTGAAAGATGGCGATTCAAGTTTAGGTCCCTGGCTTTTGGGCTTTTAGGGGGGTTAAACCTAACGAAATGCACCACTCCACTTCGCCGTTTAGGCTGGGGCTTTACAGTTCAAGGCTCTGAATTTTGTCTTTGTGGTTTTGGTCTACGACTGATCAGAGCTCTAAACCCCATGTATCTAAATTGGACCTTGCTGAGCCCCAAACCCCGAGCCTTCGTGGGTTCATGTGCAAACCTGGTGCTGCATGCAGGTAGAGCACCCAAGCTTTGGCTCAACAAGCATCTGCCCCTCGGATTCTCTATCCTTGCTGAGGGGAATTCAGACACTAGATCACGTCAGGCTTGCGATGCTCAGTTGGAAAAGGCCGCGACTACATAAAATGGAAGGGGAGGATCCGCATAGAGTTCTCAGGAGATCCGAGAGTCTCAACTTAGGGTGTAGGCACATGCTTCTCAATCGCTTCCTCATGGATCCCTCAACAGCTGCGCATGGATTTGAACTCTAAGAGGTGCGAAAGCAGCAGGGGATGACATTAAGGGCTCCTTGAACGGGTTAGGGGGATTCCTTCAAGATGATAAGGCTTCTACCAGGGTTCAGGCTTACTACAAGGGTTTCAGAAACTCTGAAACAAGAAAGGGCTCAAGACTTCGATTTCGATCCTCCGGGCTTAGCGGCTTCTGCTCGAGAGCAAATTCTGATCCTTATAAGTGTTGTTGGCCGCTTCCGGGCCAGCCCGACATCTCCATGCCGCTTTGGCTTTACTTCCCGAGTCTTCTGACTAGTGTAAACCATACCATACCATGCTATACTACAAACTACAAGTGTAATATCAGCATATTATGTAGCATACGAACATATAATATATAGTATGATAAAAGGTAATAGAATACCAATATAATCTCTAAGGCTTCAGCGAAGAGAGCTTGCGGATACCTGCTAGCGCTCTTCGACTGATCTGCCCAGTCGGGTGGCTTTGCGGTTTCTCCAACGGCGGACGGTCTTCGACTTCGAAGGCAGGTTCCTTAGTTGCTGAGTTCACAAGCCCAGAAAAGGTGTACACTTTCAGTTTTAAGGTGCATATTATCAGGTTTAGTGTTTAAAGCTTAGGGTTCTACGGGAATGATATATCCCAAAAGTGTAAAGCGCACTTACGCAGCTACTAAGGCTCTGCAGGCACTTTCGGACCTGTGCGACGTGCTTCTCCGTCCTTGGTTTAGGGGTTTGGGATCACCGACTGACGCTTCAACACCAGGTAGTTCAAGCAAGGGGATGAACCAGATATATCGTAGCCTGGCACAAGGGGTGTCGCTCCGCAAGGCTTTCTCCGGCTGTAAGCTAGGACCTAAAGGATTTGGTGTTGAACAGCAGCCGAGGGATGTGCTTTCCGACGTGCGGCGTGGCCAAAGCTAACCCAACCCAGACAACCAACCGTGAGCCACAAAGCCAGGTTCACCAAAGATGTCATGGAACGCAAAGAGTCGCATCCGACTCCAACAGAAAACAAGAGGACAATAGAAAATCCATCTGCCCCATCACAATTTGTAGTGAGGCCAGCCTTACATAGTATATCATGTGTCGGCCAGAAAGCGGAGAAATGCACAATCTCAAATCCCAAGCCGAGTTGTTTCCAACCCTGAAACTCGCCGAAGAGCAGCAGCCGGTGCTGTAGCCCAAGCATGCATGTGGCCTCCAGCAGCTGCTCAAAGCAACGACGATGGCTAGACCAATAGGCGGCGACATCCTGAATCTATCAGGTATGTGTTTAGGGTTTAGGGTTTAGGGTTATAGGGTTTAGGGTTCAGGAATTATGGTGTTTAGGTCAGTTTAGGTTGGGTGTTTTGTAGCTGCTGTGCGGCTAAAGCTACAACTACCTTTCGGCCAAGACTGCCTGCATCTGAAGCCGTAAACCCTGAAGGCCTAGGTCCCAGCTGCTACCGATCCGAGCTAACATGACTCGCAAGAACCTTTCGCTCTCATGTCCTCCTCCAAACCATCCTGCACCCGCTGCTGCTCGTGCTTTTGACGGAACTGGGTGGCCATCACCTGCAACAGCAGGCAGGTTCAGGACCGTTACGTCTTCCTACACTTATCTTCTGCCCGCATGCAGGGGATACACAAGTGTCCGTACGGCCTATGCAAGGGCACACTCCCAAGGCAAGAGGCTCTGAGGACTGTTTTCTTCAAACCCCTATGAGTTCAGCTCCATCCCGAAGGCACCTGCATCTCATCCAACAGCTCCTGGACTTGCATGATCGCGGCCTTATCCTCCGGCGACCCGGCTCGATGTCCGACCTCCTGGCGGAGTGCGTTCAACCTTGTCTCCTCCTGACTCTTGGCGAGGACAGGCACCACAAAGCGAAGGTAGATCCTTCGTTCTTGAGGTGACGCCTGCTCACGCGCGAGCCACGCCAGGGAGCTTCGCACAAGCACATCTCGGGGCCCAGATGTGGCTGCAAGCCGAACTCGGATACGCCGCAAAGCGATCAGGAGCACTAGGACCATCCGCAATGGAAGGGTTTGGGCTTCCACTGCGAGAGCAGCAGCGGCCTCCAAATCACCCTCGAAGTGATGCTCCTGGTTAGCTTCGTTGCTGGCATCCGTGTTGAGGACGAAGCCACCCTCATGGGAGTCTTCCGGCGGAGAGCTTTCTGATTCTTGCGGAGAGCTCGCCACAAACAGGCCCGAGAAGTCGCAAGCCTCCTGGCCTGGCCTGTAGACGATGACTCGCCGGACTGGCGGATGGGACACCGTGACGAAGCCAGGCCTCCGACTCTCCCCAGTCTCTTCCCAAATTGGGCCTTTCGGCTTAGAGTTGAGGCAAGCGTAGAGCTTCGGCAAGAATTCCTGCAAAGAAAACAGCAGAAGCACAAGCGAACATGAGTGCGAGGGAGTATATATGCTGACGGTAAAGACTAGAGACATACATGCAGCAGCCCTTTAAGCGAACAGATGGTCTTTCTCCATCCTTTACTCCGTCTCACGACTTGTGTGGCTCCTCCTTCACAAAGTCCTCCCGATGGAATTCCAAATGGCGCTGCCCGTACGTCCAGCCCGGTGGCGCATCGCTGCAAGCTCCCCGGTGTAGGATGACCAGCGGGTTATTGAAGTCGCTGAGCACTGCATGAACCCATGGAGTCATGCGGTCAAACTGGCGTCCATTGGTTGCAGATTCATCCCTGGGTGGTCCAGCAACCAGCCACTGAAGCTTCTTGGGAAACGACCCGGCGCAAAGGTCGAGGGACCCTCCGTTCATCAACCGCAACCGTTGCTGAAAGCTTATCCCGCGAATTGCGTCGCAGACGTTGGTGTTGCGCTGGTGCCGCAGCCAATTGATGGTGCCAGAACTGAAAATGATTAGAAACAGCCGTAGACAATGACTGGTGGCATGCTGCGCATCAGGATCTGTAGCTTTCACCCAGTTCTCGAAGCGGTCTGAGTGCTCGAGGAAGTTAGCAGCAGCACGTGCGAAGGTCCGCAAGGCAGCAATGACTTTTAGTCTTCTGCCTGGCGCCCGTGAGCTGTCACGGAAGTATACGGGCAATAAACAACAAGACTTAATTATATTGCAGGTCGGGAGTTGAAATTCAGGGTCTCCTTGTGGAAGCTCGTTCTGCGCCGCCAGGCCAGCAAGGTGTGGATATCGGCTCAGATGCATTCGCACATAGCTCTCTGGCAAAGTGGTGTTGCTCATGCGGGTCAGGAGCACATTTGCCCAGACCACTCCTTGCTCAAGCAGGTGGCACACCACTTCCGGGCAGTATGGGTAGCTGTTGCCTGATTCCGGCCGCTTCCACGACCTTTCCAAGTGCTGAACTACCTCACAGGTCATCTCGAAGAAGTTCAGGAGATCGTCGTATGTCGGTCTTTTCGTCTCCCCTTGTGCTCTTGCTGGGTTCTCCGCCTGCAAAGTTTCCATGATCGACAGCATCGTGCTGGCCAGTGCCCAGGCTGTGTCCTCCCGCACTTGCTGTCGGAGGGATGGTAGGCCATGGAAGTCCACCAAGGGGCACAGCACCAAAGGTGCCTTGAGGACATCTTCGATGCCCAACCATTTCTTTGGTTTTACCAGGGCCTTCCGCCGGAGTGCTGCACGGACGTCGCCAAGAAGTTCGTCGATTCGCCTCTGAATGAGCGGCGCTCGCGCAGCCTCCGCAGCGACCCCAGCCCGTGAGCCCGGTGAAAGCCACCCCATGCTGTGCCAGTCGGGAAGGCAAGAACGGCAAAGCTCCTCTTCACACGATCGAAGGCACAGAAGCACTTTGCTCCTCGCTTCCTCTCGGCGGAGTGACCTGCAAGCAGCCTCCACCTCCGAGCTTTCCACGAGGCGCCTGGCTGTTTCAAGATACGCCGTGGCGGATCGCAGTGCTGCAGCGAAGGCATCACCCTCCGTCCGGCCCCAGGAGTGAGCCTGGGCGCAGCCGACAATACTGCAGTGGCCGTGCATGAGCTGGCTCCAACAGGGGGTGGCTGCTCTCGAGCGCTTCTTGCGGTGCTGAAGTTGCACTCCACACAGCCACATCCGAAGTAGGTGGAGGATCCGCTGCGCCAGCAAAAAGAGGTCACTTCTGCCCATGCTCCTTTCGGACTCGTCGGATACAAACTCTGACAGCACCAGAAAGCCTGGGGACAGGGACGGAGGCTGCTCAGCCAGGAGCAGCTCCATGACAAACTGCTCCAGCCACGGCTCCTCGGCACCTCTGGCCCTGACAGGGGGCAATGTTAAATTCTGGTGCCCGAGTCTAGTCAGAGTCGAGTGCAACCCATATGCCCCTCTAGTAGGCCTGTGTGACAAGGATCGCTCCAAGGCCGCCAAGATTTGCAAGATCTTGTCGTTGAGACAGTCCAGCCACTGGACAACGTTCAACTCGCGGATGTTGAAACAAAGCTGCTTGGCGGCCACCGCAACCGCTGCAACTTGGAAGCGCAGTGCGTGCCCAGCACGGCATGTATGCACAGGCAGGTCCTCGCACAGTCGCGCAGGTGAAAGCTTTAAAGTGTGTCTCACGAAGCCTGGAACCTTGCAGGGGCCGGGCCCTTTCTGTTCATGACCAACATCAACGCACAATGATGCACTGCAAAGGGCACCAACTCTGTCTCAAGCCAATGCCTAAGTGGAAAATAAGACGCGTCCGAGGCGAAGTAAACAAAGCCAACAAGTGCAACCGCGATGATAAAAAAAAACAATCTACATTACTGGTGGGAAGCATAGTCGTCACAACATGAGCCTTCTTAAGCCGCAGACTCCTGAACATCATTACGAACCGGTGTAAGACGAACAAGATCAAAGACGCAACAAAATCTCCGGAAGCAAGTCGATGAGCAGGAATGCCCGATATCTAATTCTATGCGACACGTTTTCTGCAGAGTCGTTGTGCGAGATGGAGAAGTACCCAGAGAAGTAAAGAGCGCAATCTTTGGTTCGAAGCAGCAGCTAGCACTCGTAGGGGAAAAACAGGCATTTCAGGATTCGCACTTGCATCCACCGATCCCATGTAATAATGTATGCTTAGGTCCGCATTCGTTCGAATCGCAACATCCCGTTGCAGAAATCCGAGAGCAGATCCGAAGTCGAAGAACACTATTTTCAGCCACTACCGAAGAACCCTAAGCCCTTCCAACTGGCCTGCAACGACTCCGCTAGACCCTTTTGCCCCCAAACCCAGAACCCCTAGACCCTGTATGTAAAATCCCTGAATCCGGAACCCCAGAACCCGGAACCCCTAAACCCAGAACCCAACAAAAAAAACACCTTCTTCTAGTTATCGCCATCCGGTCCCAGGACTCCCAGAAGCTCCGCAGCCAGGCGCTGTCTGGAGCATCGACATTTTCCGCCAGACCTCCCAGAGCCTCCATCAGAAGCCTGACGTCTGAGTGCTTGAGGCCCCTCTCTCAAAAACCTTGATTGCTACAATTCATAAGACCACACAAGGTGTATACTTTCAGCTCAAAAGGGGATCATGTTTCCTAAACGCAATTGATGCGTGTTTCGCACCTTCTAATGTTCTGATGCATTCCATCTAAAGAGAATACTATTTGCGACACCCCCGGCCTGCAGCCCGAATCAGACTTTCTGGACCCTACACCCTTGTTGCACCCAGGGTTCAACACCCTGAACCCCAAAATTATCCGGACTATCAACATTCGAGAGAGACCTAATTTCCCCTGCCTTTCGTCTCCAGCCAAGACCTCTCGCTCCTCCACAGTTCGGGGTGTCTGTGATTCTAAGGATCTTCGTTGGAGCGGCATGTGCGGAAGCTTTGGCCCGAAATCTCGCAATAGAGGGGAACTCAAGACTCCGTGAGCCTTAGTGGCTGTCAGCCCCAAACCCTACTGAACAATGAGGCTTACACTCGAGACTCGAGGCATCATTGCGGGAGTGTGGGATTCTTATGAGCCCTGCTCGGTATTTTTGGGCCAGTTTATGTCGTAGGGCTTGAAGTTCAGGCTCTTGATTCCTAACAGAATGTATATAGGACACGCAATAAGGCAAGTGGTTATTTTTACCAAGAGGGGAGGTTTCCAGGGCCTACATGAGCTTGAAAACGTGATGCTGAAGATCTGGGGCTAGTTTCAGAGCCCCCAAACCCCCGATAAGGTCTAGTTCTCCCAAGTGGAACCTGAATCTTCACGTAATAAGACAGAATAACCCTGCCTCTTTGGAAAACCCCTCAACCCCAGCCTGCTGTAGCCTATTCCAGCACTCTCTGGGCGTGCTTCCGATCCGCTGCGAGGATGAAGCGCTTGGGATGAGGCCGAAGGACCTGTGAGGCCAATTGGGGTTTAGGCTTTAGGGGGCTGGGTTCACACAAGGTCTTTCAATTTAGGATCGGGCTTTTGGGCTTCAGCGGTTCGGGTTAACTTAGCCTGCTTGGCGATGCCGTTGTGGGGTTCTTAACGAAGCATGGAAAAACGGTGGTGCCCAGCACAGTAGGGCTCACACAGAAGCCCGCATCAAAAACAAAAATGGATTGGCGCTGTTTCTATGTCAACTCCTTGCAGCCCGTCGACAGTGAAGCCACCAGAACTATTGTCCCGAAGAAATCTTTGGAGCCCCCCACACAAATCACCTTGGTTACCTACATCCCAACGCCCGAAAATCCCAAATCCTGGAACGATACTGACCGGCACTCGGCTCGTCTCTAAATGAAAGGGCCAGAGCAATCTGCGGCCGCCGCCCTAAGCCAAAAAACTATTTGCACCCATGCCCCAAAAACAATTGCAGCATATTGCAGCCTTACGACCAAAACCTACAACCACACCGCCCTCGCAGCCTCAAGCATCCCAGCAGAAGCGCGGAGTGCGACGTGTTCCCAGCCAGGCGTTCGAAGTCCTTTTCGGCGGTGCTGGGTCGCTGTGAATTATAGCAATAGTGCGCTGTTCTTGCCGACCAGCTGGACTTTCATAGCCTGACGACTATCTTCGCTCAGCCGCGCACCTGTGCCTCAATTTAGTGCGACTACCGGTAGTATTTACAGACTATGGCCCTCGAGATTGACAAGCCGTCAAGAAGTCCCGCGGAAAACTGACGAGCACAGGGTGCCGATGATTCAGATGCAGCATAATCTGGCCGAAATTTCGCAGCTGGGAACATTAGCGTTCGCCATTTTGTGGCGCTGGTACGGCGGCCGCTCATGTTGGCAATGATGCCACTCGCTGGAGGGGTTGGCAACGTGCCTGGTTTGCAAACCCATCCGACAAAAACAAACAATAATTTCTTTGTAAATTCACACTGTTCGTACTTCGAAGTGCGCATTGAAAAAGGCTCCCCCAACCGGGCCGGCCCGATGGACCGGGTAACTGGTCGCCCCGCAGCGCACGTCCCGGCCGGATGCGCAATCTGCCAGCTCCCAGCCCCCAGCGCCTCATGCCCCAGACCCCAAATTCAGGTCCAGTCGCAAAACGTTTCGCTCAAAACGTTTCCTTCAAAGTTTCGCGCAAGACTCATTGGCACTGAAACCCTTAACACTTTCTATGAACCTTCGGCACAGACTTGTACATGCCCGCCTGGTTCTCAGAGCTGGCAGAAACCCAAAGCGTCTGAAACATCTGAAATTATCTGAAGCACCCTCAACCCTGAACCGTCGTCCTGGGCCCTGATCCAGTCCAGCTTCTCCAAGCACAGGGCTCGGCACTCCGCGAAACGACCCTGCTGCTCGAAGACCTCCACCTTGTCGGGTCTAGGGCTTATGGGGTTGAGGGTTTTGCGTGGAATAGCGTCGAGTGCGGGGCAGGGCAGGGCAGAAAGGCTGAGCTGGAATCTTTGGGTCCCTCAACTCGGCTGTTTTGGATACCGTAGTCTCTTATTATTGTAGGATCCTATATTTCCACAAGACATGTCATGTATCACATTCAATTTGAGGGTCTAGGTATGTTCTAGGGTTTTTTCCCTCCCACTTAGCAAGGACGAGCCCGCATTGCCGGGTTAGTTTCAGAACAGACTGTCGACTACAGGACGCACGTTCTAGGGTTTAGGAACAGGGCTTGGGGTTCAGGGTGTAAGGCCTAGGGTGCAGGGTAGCGCTCATGGGTGTTTATGAGCTTAAGGGCCATTGATTGGTAGGTGAAGAACCCCTCACAAAGCTCTTACAGAACCCAAATAGAGCCATAAAGCTGTGACCACAAACCTTAAACCCCAACAGTATATAAACCCTACCTTAAACTACCAGAACCTACTTTTTTGTAGGGTCGCCATAAACTCTACTAGAAGACATGTGGCCCGAAA